CACAACAAAGATGCTTTTTATATGTATGTCTTGTAGTGGGATTGCTGGATCCCATTGTGGTTTTACCTTCAGTTTTGCGAGGAACTCCATGCTATTTCCCGTAACATCTGTACCACTTAACAACAAAACTAACAGTGTACAAGAAGTCCTCTTTCTCCACATTCTTCCCACATTCAGCAACTTTCATTTTCCATGTTTTTGTAATGTCTGTTTATGTTCCATGGTGGAGAGTGTGTAAATTCATCTTCTCTTTCCCTTCCATGTTTTCTTTGAACACCTGTGTTGCGTTAAGCCAAACACTCATGTCATTCAGGACTACCAATGGCATTTTGTACTGTATTGAACTTATATTTCTTCAGCAATTTATCATACACATCATTAGTATTGACACAACAAGCTATTGTGGAGGTATGGGGGAGGAATAGTACCACCTTGATTTCGGTACTGTAGATGCTACCTCAAAGATAAAGAAACAGTTGTCACTATTTCGTCACTTGCCCAAATTCAGAGTTTGCCTCTTGACTCTGTGTACAATCCCTTGACCATGCTGAGGCAACATTTCTCTCATTGTCTTTAAGAAGGAATAGGTTCACCAGAGAAAAGAAGGTGACTAGAAAAGAGGGAGAGGCTTAATAGCTGCTTCTTTGGTTGATCGACATACAAGAAACAACTCACATGACCTGTTTTTTGTTTGTTTGATTTGTTTTTAAGAATTATTTCCCTGTTATTTCTTGACAATAAAAAACTACCAAAGAGAAAAAAGAAAGCTCAGCAGAGTATCATTAATAGTGTCAGGGGTTGGCTATATCCCATGGGGTGGGTCTCAGGTTGGGTCAGGCATTGGTTGGATATTCACTCAATTCACTCTATTTTTGTCGCTGCATATCTTGTAGACAAGGTAAATTTTTAGAGTCAACTACTCAGGGCCCAGGAAGGATTGGAGAGACTGAGGCATCAACCAAGGACCATGTAAGGACTGTACCTAGGCCCCCTACACAGATGTAGCTGATGGAAGTTTGGTCTTCATGTGGGGGAGTAACGGAAGTAGGGGCTGTCTCTGACATGGACTCTGTTGCCTGCTTTTCAATCACTTTCTCCTGGTGGGGGTGCCTGGCTAGGCCTCAGGAGATGAGGATGCACTCAGTTCTGATACACTTGGTGTGTTGGGGTGGGGTGGTGGTGGAGCTCCCGTTTTCTGAAGAGTAGAGAAGAAGAGCAGGGTATACGGGAGAGAGAGGGGGTATCAGGAGAAAACAGAAGGGGCTATGATTGAGATATAAAGTGAATAAATAAATTTAGAAAAAGGAGAGCCCAACAAGCTATTTATGGCTTGATGATTTCCAGTTTATGATACCTACTAATAAAGTTTTAGAGATGTGACTTTTATAGTCTGAAGTGGCCAATGTGTATTTGAATGGGATAGAACAATAAGAAACAGCAAATCTCACTTTTCCTTGTGTAATCTCTGTGTGTATGTGTGCAAATTTCATCTGTTTTTTTGTAGTTCTGAAAAGCTATTTTCCTTTTACTTTTATCCACAGGGAAGTCACAATCCTCTCTTTAAATAGCAGCCAGTTACCATGGAAATCATTCTAATGCCCCTGAGTCAATATTTTGATTTTGCTGACATTTCAGGTAAAAAAAAGAAAAAGAAAAAGAAAAAGAAAAAGAAAAAGAAAAGACAGGCTAAGATGTATAGAAGTCACATTTTTTTTCTGTTATGATGTTGACAGCTAAGAGTTGGTAAAGAAAACATGAGCTCTATAATAAGTTCCAGTTAGCTCCTAATCATAAAGAACTGGGGATTCATAAAAGATCAATCTACATATTTAAATAATACTGGATTTGAGTATGGATGTATGTGCCATGCATTTAGACTCTAGAGTTTGTTTTTTTTTTTCCCATCTATGAACTGGACCCTGATTCAACCCTGTCATTATTATTCTAATAACCTATTAGAAAACAGTTGGCTGTGTATAGCTCTGCGATTATCACTTTCTTATGAAGTCCAAAGAGGAAAGTAAATTTGCATAACGAATGCTGTTCTTCCTTTTGCTGGATCCTAACCATCATGCGGTCTGTATAAGACCCTTATACACCCACACAGCTAAGGGCATCCCAGTCTATCTTGAGAGTTCTTTTCTAAACAGAAATGCTGAATTTGGGCCTGGTGGTCCATAAGCATCAGAGCCCTTCAAGTAATTTCTCCATCTAATTTAAATCTTTGCTACACAATCTGAGCCACTTTCTCATGTCTGCCTTAAAAAAAAAAATGACAGGCAGATCTCTGTACAAAGTGAGTCCAGGACAGTCAGGGCTACACAGAGAAACCCTGTCTCCATTTTTTAAGGTAACTGACAGCTATCCAATGTTGCTTCTGAGAGCAGCTGATCATGACTGTGCTGACCCTAGTTTCACTCTTTGTACTTCACTTTCCACTCCTCTTAACAAGACCGCTCTGGAGATTTGTATCCTACATTCCTTCGAGGAGTTCATTGCATGGCATGGCCTTTGGGCACGGCCCTTACTATTTCTTTAGCTTGAGTTATCTCAGAACTTTCTATGTAGCTCAGGCTTGCCTCAAACTCCGGATCTTCCTGTTCTAATCTGCAAAATTCTTTAAGCCCAGAATGCCCCACTATTTCCACTTTGGGTTGCATAAAGGCCTCATCCCTCAAAGATTCCTGTCTTTGAATCTATAATTTTCCTTGGCAAGCAACCTGGTGTAATTGATGATGTGGTTCTGGCAGCATAAACAGAAGATGGCTGACTTTTGGACATGGGGATCACACAGAATAAAGAGAAATTAAAGCTGTCATGTTTAAATATTTGAGAAAATTTAAGAACAATGTTTAAAATGTTCAAAGGTCCTGTCACCCAGCCCTTCTTAACAGGGAAACTAAAGGTCTGCTGTTTTCAGAAGCATAAAAATGTAGTGCTTCAAAGTGAAAGTTTCACCTCTAACTCTGAACAATGAGAGCAGTTCTGATTTTTTTTTTTTTCAAGACAGGGTTTCTGTTTGTAGCCTTCTCTGCCCTAGACTCACTTTTAATGTGCAACCAGGCTGGTTGCAAACTCACAGAAATCCACCTGCCTCTGATTCCCTGAGTACTGAGATCACAGACTGGCACCATCACACTCTAAATCTAATGGATGCTGAGAAATGAATGTAAACACACACACACATACACACACACACACACACACACACACACACACACACACCAAATGTCCACTATGATATTCTTCCTTGTATCTAATCAAATTGGAAGCTGCATTGAGGATTACCAAGAGCATAGATAATTTGTGCATCCTTGCTATAAACATTTCTCTGTAAAAAAAAAAAAAAAAAAAAAAAAAAAGGTAAGCCTGGAAATGCAGAGAGCATACTGAGCTGTGATCTGAAGCTCTCCACTTATGTGCACACATGGTGTGTTTTTGCTTATATATGTTTGTTATATGCACATTCACATAGACATCTGGATGTGGACAAACAATATTAAAGATGAAAACTGTTCTTTTAAAATGGAAGGATTCATTCTTTCTCCAGGGATTCATCCGCACTATTTAACAAATCGCTGAGACTATATCTGAGCAGCAATAGGAGGAAGATGTGAGAAGAATGAAGGGCAAGATAGCATGTCACCCACAGGCATTGTATCTCCTGAGAGTCAGGCCAGGAATCTCAGCTGGCAAAGAACTAGTACTTGAGGAAGCGATGGCATGACTTCTCCCTGCGAACAAACCTGAAATGTGGTACTGTGAGGTTCAGGGAAGATTGAAACTCAGGGAAAGTTGGGTCAGAAAAAAGGCCACAGGGCTCAGCAGAATTCTGCTGTAGACTCGCCACTGGCAGCCCTGGGGACCTTGAGCTATGCCTCACAGCTGACACAGGTGTCTGAATGGCTTGGAATGAGGGATAGAAAGCTATGTACCACAACATTAAAGTGCTGAAAGCTTAAGCTCACTGTTTGAGAAGAGGTGTCTTTGGGAGGCAAGAGGGAGCCAAGGGGAGAGCCTCCCTAGACAAGATTGCTTAGAATTCTTATACTCGCTCCTACCACATATAAAGCATGTAATATCAGAAGACACGAATCCAAAACCTTGAGGAGGGCTTTATTTGGAAATCACGCTGGCTCCTGGGCTTTTCAGCAGAGCTACAGAAATGAATTACCACTCTTCATAAACAAGCCAGCCAATGACAATTTATTATAAGGGCCTGAACTGGGGGACAGCTGTGTCAAAGCACACTTAGGACGCCACTCCAACCGAAGAGCTTTTTGAAAAAGCTCAGGTAAGCTACAGGCTTCTTTATTCCAGAAGGGCTGAAGGGTTTGTGAGATGTAAGGCTAATGTGACCAAATTTATATTCATAACCCTGAAGGAGCTATGGTTGATTTGTGTATCTTGTCGCTGAGAGGAAAAAAAAAAAAACTACAAGTAAAGAAATCAGACTTATGAAGCAGAGACTGAACTCCTTAGCTGGTACATATACACAAGAAGGGGAAAAATGTCAAAAAAAATGGTCATTTCTAACAAATATGATGATAAATTTTTCTTCTTATATTTTCTACATTAAAGTCTCCCCCATAAGATTTTCTAATGATCATCCAAGACATCTTTCAACTATGTAAATAGGAAATAAACGCAAGTAAGAAGATATAAATAGCAGATATACTTCTAGGCAAAAGTAATTTTTGAATGACTCAAAGCCTTAAAGGGGCTGTAAAGCTTACAGATTGCTTTGCCCATTTTGTTTTGGTTTTGCACTGTGGACTGAACTGGGAACCCTCACGCACTATTGCAAGCGCTCGGCTACCGAACTGCACCGCCCGCCCTGTCTGGCTTTTCTGATTTCACATATTAAGTAAGACTGTTTGACAATACACCATAATGCGTCCTACCCTTGATGTTCTTTTCCTGGGACTCAGGGGAAGGAAACAGGTACCCAGAAGCTGAAGCCCTTGGAGATGAGTGGGAAGTGGGCATGGAGAGTTTACCTTCTGCCCTCTCCAGAGGTCTCCCGCTCTTACTCGCTGCAGTGCTGTTGACTGTCTCTGAGGAGGTGCTAAGCTTGGTGCTGGGGTCTCGCTTGGGCTTCGGAGGTGGCTGTCTCCGGGATCCACAGCTGCTCTCGTCCTCAGTGCCTCCGACGGAGTGCAGGGACTGAGATCTCACAGTGAATCCACTGGAGCAGGGATGTGGGAGTCGGTCCTGAGGTGCAGGCATTGTCATGAACCCCATGCGGAAATGCTTGCCCGCGTAGCTGGCGTCCTGGCTTCGGCCTACTTCTCCCCCTATGCTGTAACAGAGAGCAGAGACCACTTGTGAGGCCAAAAGTGGGCCAGGATATAGGTGAAAGTATACATACCGCCAGCCTGTTCTTGAAAGGTGAAAATTCTCACTGGTACATCATGTTACATAGGCCAGTCTTAAATGGCATGAAAACAGACTATACTTTTGAATCAATTCCTAACAGTAAAAACAAAACAATTTGATTCAGCTCAGTGTAACATGTTTCTGCAGGCATCTTTATCTCCAGATGAACCTAATATCTTATGGAGGAAAATACTGTAAACTGTCTGCAGCCACTCATTTTTTTTTTAAAGGATGTCGAAGCAAATCTTGTCTCATGATTTGAGAAGTATACGAGAATTTGGTGACAACATACTCCAGACCAGCTCCTGGTGATTGACTGGGTCCCCATTTTTCTCATCAATAACCGTCTCTAATTTGCCTGCTTAATGTGTTGAGAAAAGGGACATAAGGAAGGGCAGGAAAGGTTCTGTTAATGAGCACTAGCAAGAGAATGAAAAAGCCAAATGTGGAGGCTGGGGAGGAGCAAAAGACAGCAGGAAGGAAGAGAACAGAGAGAGGGAGGGACAAGGAAGACAGGGCAGGAGAAGGAAAGAGACTGGGATTGAACCTGGAGAGAGCAAGAAGATAGGAGAAAGGGAGTGTGGGAGGGAAGAAAAGAAGAAAGAAAGGAAAAGCTAAGAAGGGAGGCAGGAAGGCAATTGAATGGAGGAAGAAGGAAGAGGACAGAGTTCTGGAAGAAAGGGAGAGGAAACACATTTCAAACTGGTGACTGAATTGTCTATCGCTTTGTTTTCTAGAAACATTCCCACCCCATGATGTTTAAAAGATGGTTCCATTAAGCAGCAAGCCCCACCTCATAGAGTAGAACCATTTAACAGTGAACAATTGACCTATCCCTCATGTGACTAACTTCCTAAGTACTGAGTTGTAAAACCTTTCCAAATTTACTATTTTTCAGATTCTACATGGGAAAATATTCATGTTTGACACGGTAAGATTTAGAGAGAAGTAACCCTCTCAGTTTGAAGTTTAGTTAACTACAAAGGAAAGACTTTTGGGGGTCTCTCTATACTGTATGCAATGGCAAGTCTATGAAGAAAACAACATGAATATATATGTAAACTTTCAGAAGAGGAATTATTTTAGAGCTTTCTCTCTATATATTAAGTTCATTTACTTAAAGGAAAACCTAATAGAAAAATCATGTACAAAATATTTGCATTTCACTGAAATGTGTCAATCATGAAAAGAAACTTGAAGTACATGAATTTTGTAAGCTTGTTGAGTCCGCCTTTCTTAGTATATAGATTTATCACATTTTTATTTTATCTTAATTTCCATAATTAATCCAATTCAAAGTTATATATTTCATTTATTATGTCTTTCACACCATTATGACATTCATTGCAACTCTAAAATTTCAGGGCTGTGAATATATTTTAGTAGTAGAGCACTTCTTTTGCATAGATGAGACTCTAGGTTCAATTTCAAACACCAATAAATAAGCAAACAAATGAATAAACCAATGAGTAAATAAGTCCACACATTTTGAAATCCAAACTCTGATAAGAATAATAATGGGAATTGAACTGTTTTTCTTCTTCAAATGAGAAGTATATGTATATTGTGGGAAAAGCTACAAGAAGCAACAAGATTTCAATAGTTTTATTCTAGCATTTACTCAGAAACTAATTCACTACACCAGCATAATTTTATATCATTTCTTGCTTAATATTTTGAGGTAGTGTTTAGACAATACATACAGCATAGTAACATGGATGCCAGTGATAAAGAGGGGCCATGGACATTCAAGAGCTCAGATAGCCTTAGCATGTCAGTGAAGTGAATTTTTACATAGAAACAATAAGCATCCTGTTTACTGTTTCTGTGCATTTTAATTTCTGTGTTTGTTTCAGGAACATCAGTCAAGACACAGATGAAAGGTTTACACAGAGTGTTTTGAGGAAAAAGTCATTAAGGATTTCTGGGAAAATGAGCTTAGTGTTTGGGAGGAGTCTTGACAGTACGGGAAGATTCCAATCTGTGATGACATGACTTTGATGTTCCCCACAGAAGATGATGTATTTTATTTCATCTAACTTTTGCCTTAAATTATTTTTCATCTACATGTCTCTTCCTCATTTCCATTGTATCTCTGAACAAAAGCTGCTATAAAGATTTATTCAGACAGCTGCCTCTTTGCCAGGAACACACTCACCTGGGGAGATCAATGCATGTGTTAATGCACACAGCCATTTATGAGAAAGTTACTAGAAATAATTGTATCAGCAATTTATCTGTTACCTTTGACCTAAATAGAGCCTGCCTCTTTTCCCAGACAGATAATTAGCTCTGCTGCCTCATGACACGATTAGCTATGTATCAGCACAAAACAATTTTGTATAATGCTGCTTTTGCTTATAAATTTCCTTTCACGCACAGTAACACTCCTTCCAAGTGAAGTCCAACATGTGCTTCAAACAACAGCAGGTAAAGATGCAAGTTTAGTTTGACATGGAGGAGAACACACAGTGAAGAAAAATGTGACTAAGAATGAGCTACATACACATGGGGCCTTTGTTTAGGTCAAGGTTAAGGACGAGCAGTAAGGATAATGACACAGCTAAATGCAAGAGATGTAGAAGGAGGATGAGTCCGTCGCACACTGGTGATCATGGAATGAAGCACATAATCCACTTCTGGATCTGCTGACTATCTCTGGATGCTTTTTAAAAAGTATGCCAACTGCAAACTACCCCAATCCCGAGGGTTAAAAAGTTGAGTCCCATCTGTTGCATTAGTGTCTGTAAATGACCTATGAGTTTGTGCCTTTAGAACTTCGTCCATGTATTCTAATTGTCGTCAATCCAGAACCCTAGAGAGAAGGCTTCCATCAACGAGAAAATAACTGTTACAAAGAGACAGAAGAAACAAAAGTGAGGCAAAATGCCACAGATTTATCAGACAGATCTTTTAAGGTTATTATGAAGTATCAATGGTTCATTAGCTGTAGTTCTACCTAAAATTCTGTCTTCATTCTACTGTCAGCCCCTATTGGGTTATAATGTTCTTCTGACAGGAATGAATGGCTTTGGCAAAAACACAGTGACCACTAAGACCATTGTTCATATGTGGTGTGTAAGCTTTCTTTTATATCTTGCTAATTACAACTAGTGATGTACTTTGTTACAGGACAGTGTTGAAAGTATGTAGGTATGTATGCCCCTCCTCATAAGTAGAGAATCGAATACCTCATATGACAGTGAAATATCATGTGTGCTTGAGGTCTCCCTCAGAAAAGTTACAAAGATGGATGAAGTTAGTTATAAAATAACAACCAGCCTACCTGAAGACTTTGTGTTTTCAATTTGCTGTTGATTGGTTGTGTTAAAAAAAAAAAAAAAAAAAAACTTATATGCTGGAAATGCAATCCCCAGTTCAACTGTGTTGGGAAGTACAGTCCAGTGCTAGGCATTTTATCAGAATGATTCCATTGAAAGAGGATTTATATTGATTATAAAAAGGCTAAAGGTTTGCAGTTTAACGTATTGTACTCCTTTCTTTTTGGGATGCCTCAGACCGAGTTATAATGAAACCAGAAAGCTCTTGCTATATGAACCCCTTTGATCTTGGAATTCCCAGCCTTTACAACAGTAAACACCAATCAGTGTAAGTTCCAACTTTAGTGAAAGGCTCTGTCACAAACAAAGAAACAAACGAACAACAAAAAAATGCAGAGTAATAGAGGAAGACACCTGATGTTGACGTCTGTCTTCCACAGATATGAACATGAGTGAGTCTATACACATACATCATTGGATACAAATAAATAAAACAAGAAGCATCTTCACAGCTCACAAACCCACAGACCTTGAAAGTCAGGAACAAGTAGGATGGCTTTTCCAGCCAAGAAGTGAAAAATATATACGAACATGGGTGATAGGTAGTTTTGGGCATTTCTTGGAGTTTTGGTCATGAGCCTTGGCCTTTAGTAGCTGAGCTATCTTTCTATCCCATTGTGGTGTCTCTTGATCCTCCCTTGCTCACTTGGTGACTTTGAGTGGTCGCATGCAGCAACCTCAGCTCGTGGAGGTCACGGTCCCAAGAAGTTCCAACTTCTCGTAAAGAGTCTAATCTTGCGACCACCAAAGCCATCAAATATGTTCACAATGGTCCAGTTAAGTAATCAGCAAGGACAGGATGCTGAATGCGGGGCAGCCTCTCTGCAAGCTGCAGAGATTGTGAACATGATTTAAGGCACTGACTGCGTCCTTCTCAAATCTCGCTCAGGAGTCAGATGGGAACCAGCAAAGTACTGAGGAGTCATTTCAGCTGCACCTTGAGGACAATATGTGGTTGCTATGAACCAAATATGATTCAAGAGGAAATCTTCTCAGAGGTGATCAGTCGACTCCCAGCATCCAGCTACAATCTTCAAAGCATACTGTAGTCTTCTAGTCTGGAAGCTCCTAGCCAACGGACAGACATGTGAGCTGTGAGAGCTTTTCCTGCTCCATATGTGGAAATCTTGGTCTCTGGTTTCCCATAGCTACAGCATAGTCTCAGGATCTTCCTGTCCAACTGTCTCTCCTTCCTATTCTCCTTTTGTAGGTAACAGGACTTCAGCAAAGCTGAGCTTATGTCGCCACCCTTGAATCTCCTTCTCTCTATCTCTCTTAACCAAGCTCCTCAGTAAAACTCAGTTTCTGCTTCCTGGGGAACCCTGATGTGGCATATGACATAGTGAAGCCAAGCTTTTTTCAGACCAGGTTTTACACTAAACCTTACAAAATTAGCATATTAAAAAACAGTTGGGAAAGAAGGCTGGGAACATATCTGCCCCGACTAAATCAGACCAATGCCATAGGCACAGCACCAGTCCAGAGTGTCTGAAGATGATCCAAAGAATTAAAGACTTCGACTTATTCATTCATTCATTCATTCATTCATTCATTCATTCATTCATTCATTCATTCATGCTGT